TATATATATACTTTTTATAATTAATTTAAAGAATAATAATAATAAATTATTTTGATTAATTTTTGAAAAAGAAATTATATATAAATAAAAATAATCAATTATATTTTTAATAAAAATAAAAAAATATCTAAATATATTATATTTTAATATATATATATAAATTCTAAATTTTTATTAAATTTTAATATATATCTTTTATTTTAAACATATATATATATATATTTTTTTATATATATATATATATATATATATATTTATATATATATATATATTATATAAATTTTTCATTTATTTTAAAAAAGTTTTTTTTTTTTTTATTTTTAAAGTAAAACTATTTTTTTTTTAATAAAAAATTATTTTCTAAATTTTTGTTTGTTTTTTTAATTATTTTTTTATTTCTCACAATTAAATCATCTATAAAATAATAATTTAAATCTTATTTTTTTTCCTTTTTATTTTTTTTTTTAATATTCTTTTTAATTTTTTTTTTTTTTTTTTTTTTCAAAAAAAAAATCTTAACAAAAATTTAAATATCTCACATATTTTATTAAATTTTAATTTTATTAAAAATATTCAAAATTTTATAAAAAAAATCACAATTTAATTATTTTACATCCTAATAAAAAAAAATTGTAAATAAGTTACTTCAAAATCAATTTTTATTCATAAAACACAATTTTATCGTAAAAAAATAACTTTTTTATAAATTTCTTATTTTTTCCCTAATAAAATTTCTCTTTAATATATACATATATGTAATTTAATTTTTTGTGTTTTTATTGTAATTTTTGTCTTATATACTACATTTTTTTGTATTCAATATTTGATATGTTATTTAGTTTTTATAATATTAATTTTATATAGGCGCTTAAAAATATCAATTATATTCTATATATTTTTTTTTTTATATAAAAAATAATATCCTTATTTTTTAATTTTTATTACCAGCTTTTGATATATATTTTTGGTGCTGAATTTTAAGTTAGTGAATTTTGTTAATAATTTATTAAAATATGTAATAAATTAAACATAATTTATTAACATAAATGAAAAATTATATTTATTATATTAAAATTTGTTTTTAAAATATAATATATTTTTAATTTTTTAACGAATATATATATAATTTAGCTTTTAATAGAAAAATCAGGTCCAAAATAAATATTTAATAATTAGAAAAGTTCTATTTTTCAAATTCATATATACATATGAATTCTAAATATATTTATTTAATAAATTATATTTTATATTTTTAAATTATAAAATTAAAAAATTTTATTTTATTATAATATAATATAATTTTTTTAAAAAAAGTAACTTAAAAACTTTTTAAAATGAAATTTCATTTATTATTTTTTTTAATACTATTTTATTTTATATATATTTTTTTAATATACTCTTTTTATTTATTTTTAAAAATTAATATATATAAAAAAAATATTATTTATAAAATTATAATTCCTATTTAGAAATATAGTATAATATATAATAATAATATTTTTAGTCTTGTTTTTTCATATAAAATAAAATATATAGAAAATTAAACTATATTTTTTTTTCACTAATTTTTATAAAGTGAGCAATCGTTTCCATAGAATCCTTTAGCGCAATAGCACTATCCGTTTAAACAATATCCGTTTGCATTACAGTAGTTTGGACAGAATTTTTTAAAATTACAAAACTCGTTTATATTATCTGGGCATTAAATATATCCATTATATCCACTAACTTCTTTTTCTTCTAAGTTTCTGGTGCAAATAACCTTTTAATCTCCTACTTCAATAATCAATTATTATGAATTATTTTAACAATAATGTTAATAGCATTTACCACTCAATCTATTAGTTGGCACATATTATTTACTTAATAAAGTCACGTTAAACATTTTGAATTAATTCCAAATTTGATTCCAAATGCAAGTTAATTTTGTAATGAATTCAAATTACTACTAGCATCCCAGCATTTTCCATTACTATAAATACTAGAATTGTTACAATTAGGATCATTATAACAACCAATATTACAATTAGAAGATCCATGGTAATAATAGTCACATAATCCATCGTCTTTTACAGGACTACAAAATTCTCTATTTCTTTTATCACACTTTCCAAAGATGAAACTACAGCCTTTTCCTTTTCATTTTCCATAAGTTGTTTTTTCCTCCATAGATTCGTCTATTTCAGCATAGAAACCTGTGTCTTTTAAAAGATTGGTTGTAAAACCACTAAAATAGGCCTAATTTAGTGATATACTTGCATTCATGTATTCATCTGCGATAACTGTTTATTCCCAATGAGATCCTACAGATCCGGTTCCTCCTTAATCTTCAAGAAGTATATCATGTAAATTTTGACATCCGTAATAATTTTAAGCAAATTTTTTAATATTAGGAGTTTTGATTAACTATTTTTCAATTCCCTTAATTTAAATTTTTAAGATAGGGTTAGTATAATGCTTTTCATCAGAATTTACCCATCTATTTGCATCACCATCGCTAAAACCTAATACATGAGCGATTTCATGGATAATTATTTCCATTAAATCTTCAAATATAATAGGATCTTCCATATTTTTGGTAGTTAATATTCCTAAATTAAAGTTAACTGTACCATGAGTAGGTCCTAAATAATCTATAAATTAACACCAAGAGGCATGAGCTAAACTATTGCTATTTTTCTCAAATGTATATGATACATATAAATGTAAATCAGATTTTTTTCCCTAAATTCTGTCTATTTAAGGAATTGGAACTAATCCACATTTTTTATTAATGTGTTTATATCTCATATCTGTTGGGATTATTTTTATTAAACGAGAAAAATAATCAATTGCCAATTACAAAACTTTCTCACAGCTATTATTTATACTAATTAGCTTATTTTTCAAACCAGAAGTATCTGTAGTTAAAGATTTGAAATAATCCATATTGTAGGTAATTATCATATTACGAGATTGTTTCGTTTATAAATTACGAATATCTGAAGATTCTTCAACAGGATCTCGGGGTATTGATTCATATTTATAGCTTTATTTAAATTTATCATGGCCACATTAGTGTTCGAGGACTTTTAAACCAAAAACAAAGGTTATTAATAATAAGAATATTATAAGTTTTTACATTTTTTTATTATTATTTATATTTTGATTAATATTTTTTTTAATAAAATTTTTTAAAGTATTTAAAGAGTTTATTATTTAGTTAATAATAGTATATAAATATTAGTAAATTTTTATTTTTATTTAAATTTATTTATATTATAATAGTATATTTTATATCTCAATTTTTTTTATATATTAATAGATGTAAATAAAATAGATAAAATAAAAATAAAATAGAATTTATTATTTATTTAATTTAAAAATAAAAAATAATATATTAGTCTAAAGTCACAAACATATTTAAATTTTGAGCAATATAAATATACACATAGATGTAAAATAAAATTTATATTAAAAATAGTGAGGGTGTAAAATTTAAAATTAATAATATTTAATAATAGATTTAAAAAGATTAAATAAATATATATATATATATATATATATATATATATATATATATATATATGTTTATTTTCAAAAAATTTATATATTAATATAAAAAATATTCTTTATTATAAAAATATTTATTTAATAACATAAATAATTATAATTTTTTAATAAATATATCATATTTTTTATTTTTAATTATTTAATTTTATTAAAATATAATTATTATCATTTTTTTTTATATTTAAAAAATTATTTAATAATAATATTTTTAATTTGTTCATATTAAAATAAATGTAATATTTTTACTACTTGTTGTATAAAATGAAAAAATCAATCATTAATATATTTTTTAATTTTCATACTTTAATAAAAAATAAATTATATATCTAATTATCTATAATTAATATATAAATTATATATATAATTATTATAATCAATTTAATTTAATTAAAATTATTATTATAAAAAAAAAAAAAAAAAATCTTTATAAATTTTTATATTTAATTATAAATATAATATAATATAATATAATGAAAATATATTAAAATTAATAATAATTATTTACTATATTTATAATTAATTATCATATATTATTATATATATTATATTTAATAAAAATATATTAATCTACATTATTTATATATAATTTTTTTTTTTTTAATATATAAAAATCTAATGTTATAAAAACTAATATATTAATTTATTTAAAATAAAATTTTTTAAAATAAAAATACATATTTATTAAATTTATAAAGTATTAATAATTTAAAAAATAAACATCATTAAAATAAAAACATTAATTAATAAAAAAAATAATATTAACCAAATTATATTTAATAAATAAATCTACAAAAAATTAATAATAACCCTATCATTAATAAATTTTATTTTTGTTCTAAAAGTACTTTAACACCAATTTGTCCATGATAAAATGAAATAAATAAAAGAATATAAACTCATTCCTTCTCCTTGATTAGGAGTCTTTAGATACCCGCAATTTACAAAATAGAAAACCCCCTAGTATGATTTCAAACTATGATATGTCTTATTTCTCAAGATTGTCTTACATCCTTAGAATAAAATTTTAACTGCTGTCTGCAATTAATGTTAATAATTATTTATTGAATATTTTTATAGACTAATAAAAAAGATTTTCAAAATCTGATATATAGAATCCATATAATTATTATTTAGCCTTTGATGATGTTTATTGATTTGTGAAGGGTCTAAGGATCTAGTAATGGTTTTTTTAACTTTAATTTGGCTAAATTAACAATCAAAAATATGAATATTCCTTTTGATTTTGATATTTGATGGAAATATATATACACTAAATTACTTATATTCTGTATTTTTGCGAATTCGATAAAATAGATGTGTCACTCCTCATAGATAACTTTATATTTAATCTAGTTTTTAAAAAAAAATATATTTATATGCTCGGAACTATTAACGTTTTGAATTTTGCTTGTAAATATTTCGGATGTCCTTAGTTGGTGTTTCTCTTGAAAATTCAAAAGCCACAACTTTTTCAGGATCTCGTTGGAAACAAATCACAGTCATATATAAAAATACATGACTCAATATATATCACCTAATAAGGCTTTTTTAGTAGATTTAAAATCTATTATTTAAGAGACAAAGGTTTCTATACTCAAATAAACGAATCTATAGTAGGATAAGCATATTATGCAAAAGGAAAATACTTTGATTAATTCATTAGTTATTAAAGTTATAAATAAAAAAATAATTTAATTCAATAAATTTCGACGAATCTTCTAAATTATCTTATTTCCTTAAATTTATCAATAAAACTCTTTATAAAAACATTTCCGAATTTAACCAAATTTCCAATATAAAAAGCTTTTTTAACAAAAATTATTCATCCATAAGATATATAAAATTCACTAATCTCCATAATATTAAAATTGAATATTGACATATGTATTTTTCATTTAAAATAGAAAATCCATAAAATAACTTTAATAAATGAAATTCAATTATTTATTTTAAGTTATATTTTATGTAAAAAATTAAATTTTTTTTTATATATAAAAAAATAATAAACTATGTTAATTTTATATATATATATAAATATAAATATTTATATATAAAAATTTAATTTATAAATTTATATATATATATATTAAAATATTATAAAAATATTTTAATAATAAATTAAATTAAATTAATTTTTTTTTAATTTTAAAAATTAATATATTTTTTATTTTTATTTTATACAATTTTTAAAATATTTTATATTATTAACTTCTATTTTTTTTAATATAAAAATTTATATATTAATATTTTTAAAAATATTATAATAAAAAATAAAATATTATTTTAATATTCTAATATAAATTATAAAGTTAAAATAAAAAAGCATTATATTCTTTTCTTATATTAAAAATAAATAAAAAATTCTATTTGTATATAATAATAAATAAAAAATTTTATTTCTATAAATAATAGATAAATATTAAAATATCTCAAGAGGCTCCTTTAATAGAGCAATCTAATCCACTAAATCCTCTAGCACAATAACACTTATTATTTAAGCAATATCCATTTGCACTACATATATTAGGGCATATTTTTTTAAATCCACAAAAATCTGATAAATTTGCTGGGCATTATAGTTATCCAGTATATCCTTAAAATGACAATTTCTGTAAATTTTACTTACAAGTTTGCTTAACTTTACCTACCCAAATATTTACTTATCTTTTAGTAGAATCACATTCATATTTATAGCAATTACCTATAGTTATAGACATTTATGGGTATTGTGAACCCGATATATTCCCGTTGAAACATCTCGAATCAATACCATATTTAACTCCTTATAATAATTAAGCTCTTTATGTGTTCTAGTTACTATTAACATCCCAACATTTTGTATTTGGGTAGGTAATTAAAGTATTACAATCAAGATCATTAAATTTACGAATTTTGCAAATAGAATATCCGTGGTGGTAATAATCACATAATCCCTAGTCTGTTTAAGTATTACAAAATTCTCTTTTAGTAGAATCACATTTACCCAAGAGGTGCTCACAGCCTGCTCCTTATCCAAAGAACATTTTTTCTTCCATATTGGCGTTGATTTAAGCATAGAATCCTGTATCTCTTAAAAGATTAGCTGTAAAACCACTAAAATAAGCCTAATTAGGTGAGTTTAATGTATTCATGTATTCGTTTTGTATGTCTGTGTTTTTCCAATGTGAATTTGAATATTCATCGTTATTTGCTCTATCAAGAGGCATACCAACTAAAGTAGGACATCCGAAATAGTCTCTAGCAAACTTCAAAACGTTTGGAGTTGTAATAAGTAAATTTTCAACTCCCCTTATATTTTATTTGATTATAGGATTTTTATGAGGAGTTCCATCAGAAGTTATCCATTTTGGTATATCTAAATTGCTAAAACCCAAAATATGAGTCATTTCATGAATAACTATTTCCATTAAATCTTTAAATTATATAGCATCATTTACGGTTGTTTCATCAAAATATTATAAATTGAAATTAACTTCACCATGAGTTGGTCTCAAGAAATTAACACCAACTTGCTACGGCTAAATAATCATCTTCTTTATTATTTGTATATGTAACATATATATGTAAATCAGAGTTCTTACCCTTAATTTTGTCATCCAAAGGAACAGTCATTTCTCCACATTTGGGATTAGTTTATTATATTTCATATTTTATTCAGATCTTGGTATTATTTTAATTAGACGAGAAAAATAGTCTATTGCTAGTTATATAGCTTTCTCGAAGGTAGAAATTAAAATTTTATTTTTAGCGTTAGAAGGTAATTTTTAGAAATAAGACATGTCGTAGCTTATTAACATATTACGGGGTGTTTTATTTTGTAAATTACGGTTATCTAAAGATTCCTCATCAGGGGGTATTGAATCGTATTTTCTGATTCTTTTTATTTTATCATGATGGCATTGGTGTTTAAGGATGTTTATACTTAAAATGCAGGTTATTAATAATATGGTTATTATGAATTTTTACATAATAATTTTATATTATTTTATTTATACTTTATTTATAATTTATTTATTATTTATTTATTATTTAATTATTATTTATTTATTATTAATTTATTATTATTTATTATTTATTTATATTTTAATTATTCTTTATAATTTTAATATATTTTATATAAATTTATAAATGTTTGCTATTAAATTTCAATTTATTAATTTTTATAATTTAATAAATAAATTTTTTAAATATATTTAATTTAAAAAATATAAATAAATAAAATTAATTTTAAATATAATATGTTTATATATCATTTGTATCTATCTAATTTATATATATTTTAAATATTTTAAAAAATATTATAAATTATTAAACATTTAATGTTTAATAAATATATTAAATATAAAAAAATAAAAGTTCATAATAAAATTTGCATTATTATAGTTTAGAAGAATAATATTAAATATATATATATATATTTATAAATTTATATATATATATATATTTTATTTATTTATTTTCTATATTTTAATTAAAAGATATATATTAAACGCAGGATGTAAAATTAAATAATATATTTTATCTTATATTTTTAATATAATTATTAATTAAATAATATATATTTGTTAATTAATATAACGTAAAATATATATTGTAGTCATATATATTTTATAACTAATTTTATTTGAATCGAAAATATTTTACAATAATAATTTTAAGTATGAATTTAATATAATAATATATATTTAATATAAAATTATATTTATAATTTTATATTTATATAAAAAAATTAATATATTATTAAATATAAAAAAATATAACCACGAATAAATGAAGAAAGTATAGACAAATTTGTAGACTTTTTAAAAAAAATAGTTAATTATTAAAAATTATTAACATTCATTATATGAATAAATAAGATTTATAATAATATTTCTATATTAAAAACGAAGCAATTATTTTATTAAATATACAAAATTTTAGATTCATTAATATACTTAAATATATAAAAAATGAAAATTAAATTTAATTCCACTTTGTTTATAATATTAATAATAAAAAATAAAATATATGCATAAAATAAAATAAAACAAATAAAATACAATTAATATAATATGTATTAAAAATTTAATATTTAATAATAAATAATATATAAATAAAAAAATATAAATAATATATAATATAATTAATTATAATATATTAAAAATAATAATAATCTAAATTTATTAAAAAAATGATTTAAATTAATAAAATTTTTAAAAAATGAATATTGTATATTTATTTTGGAAACATAAATATTAATAAAAAACTTATATTATTTAAAAAACTAAAAACAATGTAATATATCTATGTATTTTTATATTTATAATTTTTAAAGATTTCCTGATATCTTATAATAAACAATTAAGTATTGTGTGTTAAAGGCTGTATAATTGTATAATTAGTATTAAAGATTTAAATTTAAAAATAAAAAAATAAAGATGTAAAAAAAAAAATTAAAAATATAAATATGTATTTATGGATAATTCAAAAAAAAGAATATAAAAAATAATAGACATAAATTAATAAAATATATATATATATAATATATATATATATTATATATATA